TGGCTTGGGCATCTCTGACTCTTTGCCACGCTCTCATGTTTCAATGTTTCTCCACTTCTGGTGCGTACCACACACTAAGGACCTACGGAGGTGAGCCTTACTCTAAATGATAAAAGGATTACTAAAAACATCATGCCATGACTGTGTGAAAACAAAATCATCAATGAAATGTACCAAAGAAGCTGACGCATTATCAATATTCCCTGCTACCTCTGTTCTGCCTGTTTTTAAATTAGCTTTAGGAACAAAAACATATCAGCTATGGGTCAGGGCTGTAGGAAGAAACACTTGGAGAGTTTCTCACCACATTCTGAACTCTATCCATTTTTTTCTTCTTTAGGAGACAGGGTCTCACTACATTGCCAAAGCTGCTCTTGAATTCCTGAGCTCAGTCCTCCCACTGTGGTCTCCTGAGTAGCTGGGATTATAGACGGGTGCCACCATGCCCAACTTGAACTCTATCCCTTTGTATAACTTATCTCCTTGAATTCTTGCAAGGGTCCTAGGAGTTAAGTACTCAAATCTCCAAAATGAGGAAATAAAGTGAAAGGGAGAGACTGGGTTCACCTTCAGGCTTCAAATGCCACACATCATCTTTCCGTCACATCACAGTAAAGAGCAAAAGAGCACTTAGCAGTGAGTCTCTTTTATAAGTGCATACTTCAAAGCCTTACTTTTAAGGAACTGTTAGCTCATTTTAGACCTGTACATTTACTTACTATATATGGAAATAAAAACTGGTCAGTGACCTACCTGCTTTAAAACTCTAATGCTAATTATATTTTATAATCGAACTCTCGGCCAGGCGCAGTGGCTCAAGCCTATAATCCCAGCACATTGAGAGGCTGAGGCAGGTGGATCACTTGAGGTCAGGAGTTCAAGATCAGCCCGGCCAACATGAAACCTTTTCCCTACTAAAAATACAAAAAATTAGCCAGGAACGGTGGTAGGTGCTTGTGATCCCAGCTACTTGGGAGGCTGAGGCAGGAGAATCACTTGAATCCAGGTGGCAGAGATTGCAGTGAGCCAAGATCTCGCCATTGTACTCCAGTCTAGGAGACAAGAACAAAACTCTGCCTCAAAAAAAGAAAAATAAATAAAATAAAAAAATTCAAACTTTCCTGGCTTTAATACATGTCAAATGTAATAACCTTGAAAAGAGGAAGTGAGTATTATAAATTCCATGGGACAACTCCTTAGAAAGCATGGTATGTCGTATGCAGACAGTTGAAGTTCTTAACTCTTCTTTTTTAAAAATTAGAGTTGGTTTACAGAAAAGTGATAGAGAATTAATACTTTCCCTTCAAACAATTATGACCCAAAAGTGAGTTCTTAGACTTTGAAATTCATACTGAACAACAGTCTATCATCTCTATCACAAAGCTCCCAACATGTGTAACTCTGATGAGAGTAAGGGTGACAGTGCTGGGAACAGTAGGACACCCCATTTTGATGGGCACGAAGCAAGTGCATCCATTTCGGCCAATTTAGGGACTCAGAAGTTTTACTCCTGCGATCCTGTAAGCTTGCCTTTCTCTCACTGTTCCCTTTCCTTCCCTTGTCTCTTTGTCCTATTCTTTCCATTACCCCTTGTTATGGACTTGTGTGCCCTGAAAATTCATTTCAATATCTTAACCCCTGATGTGTTGGTATCTGGAGGTCGGGTCTGTAGGAGGTGATTAGGTCACGGGGGTGGAGCACTCAGCACTTACAAATGAGACTAGTGCTCTTATAAAGGGCACTCAAGCAACCTAGAAGAAGGCTCTCACCAGAACCCAACCATGCGGGCGTCCTGATCTCAGACTGCCAGCCGCCACAACTGTGAGAAATAAATGTATGTTGTTTATCAGCCACCCATTCTACGGTGCTTTGTTATGGGGGCCCAAACTGACAAAGACACCCATAGTTCTAGGTATAGAGTGGGCCCTAGAAACAAAACCATGTAATAATAACAAAACGTATTTAAAAACACGTATTAAGTGCTGGTATTGTGAGGCACTGTGCTAAGGGCATCGCGTGTGTTAACTCATTCAACCAAGTAACTGTGCGAAGCAGTGTTACTATTTTATAGCCAGGGAAACTGAGCAGAGAAAGGGTATGCAATCTGCCCAGGGCCACAAAGCTGTCACGATAGAGCATGATTTGAGTTCTGGGCAGGCAGAGCAGTCACATGGCACAATTCTAGGGGGACCACGTCGTGCTGTTCTGTGGTGTTACCATCCAGAGGCACCTGGAGCTGTGTGCTCTAGCAGCCTATTGGATCAGCCCAGAACTTAACTGTTAGGTTACACCGTTAAGTGTAGACCTTAAATGTAATTTCGAAGAAAGCCCTCATTCATCTTAAAGGGTGCCTCACTGATTCTTTTCAACAATTCTTTTCCCTTCCCAGGATGACTTCCAAGGTAGAGCCAGGTGCCAACCTCAGGGGGAGTGAGCCTAGAGGGCGGGGCCGGAGCAGTCAGCTGCTGAAGCAGGAAAGGCACAAGCACCTTTTCTGAGCATCTCAAATCTTACTAACGTCAAAGTCTCAACCATCATTATTATTACTAGTACTGAGGTTTTAAGAGCCCACTTTTTCAAAATGGGCTCAGAAACAGGAATCTTCCCCTGCTACTGCCCTCATCCCTCTCTCCCCATGTCATGTTCCCACCTCGGTTTGCTATGCTTGGGCAAGAAAAATGATGTCCCATCTTTAGTCAGTTCATTTCCTGTTGTGCTTTGTGAGGAGCCCAGCTGCACTAAGTGGTAGCAACAGATAATTAGTTGCCCTTTCTAGAAAAGGTATTTCTGCTTCCCCATTGTCCCTGTGCCTCAGGTCAGGAGCTTGTGCGTATGAATGAGGCCATCTTCACCTGAATTTCCCCATTTCTGTGGCTCGAAATGCCCTCTGGTACTGTTCCAGGGTCCCCTTACTATGTGTACATTCTAAGAGCATCTATGAGGTCTGTCACATGTGCTTAAGATCCAGGCTGTAACATCTGAGTGCAGGTACTCTCTCCTGTTAATCTGTGCCTGGCATCTGCTGGGGTGGCTGGGCAGCTGCCCTGACCACTGAGCACCCAACCATCTGTTGTCAGACACAACAATTTCCACTGGTACCTGATGCTACTCTTTTGGGAGAATGCTGCTCCACCTGTGAGGCCAGCTCATACATGACCTCAAGCTAAAAAAGCTTCTAAGAATCAAAATAGCATTGCATTCTGCCCAAGCAGCGCCAGTCCTGCTTATTGCAAAATTGGGGGTTGAAGGTAGTCCTTCTTGATAGGGGTCAGACTTAGTGCCTGGAGCAGCATGAGGATGTGCTTCTATGTGACTTCTCTCACTAGAGGCCCCGGCTACAGGTTCCCAAACGTATGCCTGTCCATCCCTCAGCATAGGAAAGTGTATAGAAACAGACGGATCCACTTCCACATAGCCAACTCAGTTTAGGCTCATTTATATTGAATTTGAGTTTCTGCAGAAGAAATCAGTTATTCAAAGTATTTATTTTAGCATATAGAAATTGTTATTGCTCAACTCTTTTTTATTTTCGTTTTGGAGACAGTTTTACTCTGCTGCCCAGGCTGGAGTGCAGTGGTGCAATCTCAGCTCACTGCAACCTTTACTTCCCGGGTGCAAGCGATTCTCCTGCCTCAGCCTCTCAAATAGAAGGGATTACAAGTGCTCCCCACTATGCCCAGCTAAGTTTTGTATTTTTAGTAAAGACAGGGTTTAGCCATGTTGACCAGGCTGGCCTTGAACTCCTAGCCTCAAGTGATCCACCTGCTTCAGTCTCCCAAAGTGCTGGGATTACAGGCATGAGCCATCATCACTCCGAGCCCTATTGTTCATCTCTTGATCAGTATAAAAAACAAAACTGGTTAACCATATATGTACTATGAAATGATAATTGGAGGTCATCCCCAGTAATATCTTGAAAGAGGAACACAAAGAAGAGAATCAATACTTTAACATTCATTGAAATACAAGTCCCATTTGATGATATTCAGAAAAGACATTAACGATGATTCCAGAATTAACTCTAATGTGGTGACCACAAACATAACAGACATCTGAACACAAAAAGTTAAATTTCAAGCAAAGCACACTCAGTAATAACTTAATAAGAGCTACTCAGCACATTATAGGTTGGAGCTCAAGGAAGACACTTTAATCCAATGAAGAATTGTTCTAGTTTGGAGAATACGCTAATTTTCCTCTGGAAATAATTTTAGAAATCATAGGTTTTCTTCTCCAGGCAATTATTTTAATGAATCAACTGGAGTTTCAAGAAATAATCAAATGAGTTCAGTTTGGTTTCAGGTTCAGCAAAATGAGACCATGCATTCTGTTTTTGAATGAGGTTGAGGTCAGGTCCTCTGTCTAAAACAGATTAATAGATAGGAATTGAGATAATCTTATTTTTATGCCCTTGACTTCTTTGATCTTTCCTCCTGTTTCTATTTCCCAAACATCTATAGATTCCTGTGTTTTGATCTCATTGAACTTTTCTGTATTGTATGTTAACTTCTCTCCCCTTCCAAACTGAGTTTATTGTCAGCTCTCTCAGTCTTTTATTGAACTACTGGAACAATGTTCCTTCCTACACACAAGTGGGATACTGATGAACTAACAAGTTACTCCTTTTATCAATGCCTTCACTCTTAGTAAACTAAATGACCACATATTAATATCATGCTAATGACATACATCTGGAACCAGAATGGTAAGTGACTTGAAGGTAACACCATCTCTGAAAATACAAGTGCCCAGAGCAATGCTCAAATGAGTATAAGCACAGAGTTAAATGGTCAAAATAATGCACATCAGTAAACATTTACCAAATAACAGCTTACACAATTTGTGAGATCAATAGTAGAAATGATAATGTAGAAAAGAAAGAATTCATTTCTTTACGATTTTCAAATTGCAGCATGAAATTGGTATTGGTGTTATATTGACTCTTGGCAGAAATGGTTTCTTCCCAGACATGGGAATAATAAGCTCCAGATCTTTCTTACCTGTTATGGTGGCTTTGTTGATGGATGGTTGGTTGCACATGGGTGATCTTCTGACAAAGACAGAAAAATACAAAGCAGTAAATATGTGGGGCTTGTTGATCTGATTGCTCTCTGAGTCATTTCAGATACAGCGTTTTACTTTAAAAGATTATTTTTAAGTTTGGACATGCAAATGAGTTCTTTCAGACTAGCCAGACAAGTCCCTAGGTGTTTTTTGTACTATGGCTCAGATCACATATGTCCAAAAAGAAAACTGTTACATCTTGCAGTGATTGACTTGGGGTAAATAAGCTGATGTAAGTGCCACTGGGACAGGAGAGAAGAGGAAATTCATATTGACTCTATTCACTGCTTACAGACTTTCTGAATTTGAAAAAGCAGTCAATTTATAATTGTTTTCCCTAGCATAGGGTTAAGAACTTTTTATTGTTGGCATAAATTCTCATGATTACCTGTACATTATAAGCGAATGATTTGTTGTAAACTATCTTATAATTAGAGAAGCTATTTGAACTTTTTTGTTTGTTTTCTTATATTGAGAAACATCTCTGATATATTTATTAGAGATGTATATTAATGACTTTTCTAATTAGATACTATAGAGGCTTTAGAAATACTGTCAGCCAAAGGTACTTAAATAAATTCTATCTTGTATTCTCTAAGTTTTCAGATGTTTGCCAAGTTCCCCCAAATGACTATAAACCCCTTGAAGTTAAAAAAAAAAAGCACACTGTCTCTGATTAATTTATATTCCCTATAGAGCCTAGCACAATGCATCCAGTATTAGGTCAGTGCTTAATAAATTATGTTGAAAAGAATATCATTTATAAAATATTCATCAAATTTTTGAAATATAACTTTATAAAGTTATTACTTATAATTGACAACTTTAAAAATATAATAATTTTTTAAAAAATACTTTTAGATTCAAAGAGTCTGATATAAATATATTAGATATATGATAATTATAGATATATATTGCCTCTACTAACGGCTAACACTTAATAAACACTTCCTGTGGACCAGACGTTGCTAAATAAGCACTTTAAATGAATTATCTCATTTAATCCTCACAATAAGCCTTAAGGAAGTAAACTTCCTTGTTCTCATTTTACCAATGAGAAAAACAAAACTTTGAGACTTTGAAGAACTTGTTTTAAGTAACAAAGCTGAGATTTGAACTCAACTAATGTGGTCCTAAGGCCTACACTCTGCTCTGTTGCCTTAGTTTTAGATGTTTTTTTTTTTTTTGAAACCTATATGCACAGCCTCACATATGTGCAGACGGCATCAGGCTCTTCAAATATGCCTTGCTGAGATGACTCTCTTAGCAGAGCTGGGGAAATGGGGAAAGCAGCCTAGGATTTTGTAAATTCTCACTGGTTCCACTCAGCCTCTGGCTCCCTTTCATTTCTCTTAAGTTTACTGGCATCGGTTTGTGATTAAAATTTTGTGTTTGAAAATGCACCAACTTTTACTTCTGAATTATTTTAGATTTTTTAAATTATAAACTAAAATGGTTGAGGGAAAAATGGGGAAATTTTAAACTTGATAAACCGGAAGGTTAATGTTTTAAGCAGATGCTCTGAAATAGCTCTGGTCTATATACCAGTAATTATCTTCTTTTTAAATTTTTCAAAAAAATTTTTGAGACAAGGTCTCACTCTATTGCCCAGGCTGGAGTGCAGTGATGTGATCAGAACTCACTACAGCCTTGAACTCCTGGGCTCCAGTGATTCCCCTCACTACCTCAACCTCCCAAGTAGCTGGGACTACAGGTATATGTCATCATGCTTGGCTAATTAGATTTTTTTTTTTTTTTTAGAGATGGGGTCTTGCTGTGTTGAACAGGCTGTTCCTTTCTTGCTAAGAGTTTATCATTCAAATAATTGATATCCTGATTATTTCTTTTTAGTCCTTACTCTGTGAAAATGTAGAAATCATTGATTTTGTCAGGGAAAGGTATGAAATAAATATTTTTATTCTCTTTAACAGTTTTGGAAAACCAGATGGCTGACTCGTTACTAATTATCTCCTCTTACTGTCAATCCTACAATTAATTGGCACTCAGGAACTTGATAGCTCCACAAGTAATGGCAAGCAGAAAATATTAATCCTTTGATCCATGGTTGCATCGATAGCTCGTTTAATGACAAATGAGCCAGGACTCACTTCTGGAATTAAAAAATCTCAAGAGCAAAACAAAAACAAAAACAAAAAACCCAAGGTGACCGGAACCAGAAGTGTCTAACAAGTCAGCAGTGTGCATCTGAATACCGGCCCAGGGCTCGGGTTTTGAACGCATTCTTCCTAGACTCCTTTTCTGCAGCAAATAAAAAGGGTGGCTTGTGCCAGGTAGCACACGCCTTCCACAAAATCCAAGGGTGAGCTTGGAAATGCTCTAGTGGCTCTACGAGTGCCAGTCGGGAAAATTCTGATTCCTCCAGGGTCATCCTGTGATGAGGCAGTTACATCACTTCATTCTCACTGAACAGAGTTGAGTTTAGCCATGTATAGATTGAATCCTACTACTCTGATACCCAAAGAAGCTGATTTGGTTTGAAACATAATAGAGGCACAAATTTGCATTGACCAAAGGAAGACCACAGGGGCCTTTACTTAGAGTCTGCCAGATAATACTATTTGGTTAGATGTCACCCTGGGCATTGTCAAGACGTGGGGGAAGTTTGGGCTTAAGCTATGATTTTCTGTTTTCTTCTAGCTCTTCCTTTCCGTTTTAATCTGTTTGGTCCCCGTAAGGCAGCAGAAAACTTCTGTCTTGCATAGAATAGGCCTCAGATCATCTCTCTGAAGCCTGACTGATCAAATGTTTGCCTGTCACAGCTTTAAATGCTGGTACTCAGGTGACCATATGTAAAAGAAGCATAAAGGCAGTTTCCTGTTCCTCTTTTAAAAACAGCAATCTCAGTTTCCTGGGTAAAATTCCAGACAAAAAAGTTTGGGAGTGATAACTAGTAACTTCATTTCTTCTGCAGAGCTGAGACTCTCTAAGGGAGAGGTGACTGACCTGATAAACCACCAAATCCTCAAAGCCCCAGGGGGCCGCTGAGGTCAATATGCTATTGTATGGCCATGTTACATAGAAAACGTGGTTGGTAATGAACAGGTACCTCAAAGCACGCCCTCAGATTTTACATGCTGAGTTACTACTTTACTCTATCAGCGAACAGGACTTTGCAGAGTGATAGACTGTGTATTACGCTAGGCACAGGGAATACAAATGTGAACCAGCTACACCTCTCCTCACTGGGAGCTGACAGTGTCCAGCAGCATCCCAACAGACAAATAGGCAACAGGAGCACAGAGAGATACATGCTAACATAGGAATCAAGCACGAGATGCAATGAGACAGAAACGGAAAGGCACATCACCTTGATTAGGGCTTGTGAGTGTGTGTCTATGTTGGGTATTGTCAGGTGCAATGCTGCAAAAGAAATTTTATTTAAGCTGCAACCCAAAGAATGAATGACAATTAGCCCAGTAGATGAGGAGAGGAAGATGATGAGAAGTGTGCAAGTGGAGCAAATAGGACTGCAAAAATTCACTACCTGGAAAAACAGGCTAATGGGTTCCGTTCCAATTACTTCCATTGTGGCATTTATATCAATTTTTAAAAACTTTTTTCTATCACAAGAAGTACTTGAATAATGGCCAGGGCTATTTTTGATAATGGAAAATGTGAATTTGGGAGGTTGATTTTATTATTATGAAATGGAAAGTTCAGATTTTTCATTATTTTTAGGAAGTTGTAACTACTATGAAATGTTATATGCTTAGGTAAGTTATAGTTCCTAATACACTTATATTCACTGTCCTCTTAATACTGATTTAAAATTTTTTTTCTGGAAAATTATTTGAAGTTGGTATTTTAATATTTTATTTAGTATTAATAACAGATTTTAAATGGACATTTAAATAATAGCAAACCAGTTTTCCGTTTAATATTGAAAAATTACTTTTATCTTTTAGATTTTTTTTGCCTTTATCAAGAACTCGAAATGATAATCATTTCCCATCTTAGCTTTCCCTCTTTCAAATGCTTTCTGTGTTGTCACATAAATCACAACTCTATTAATTGCTCCATGAATGCTGCTGATTTGAAAGTCAGTAACAGCAGGAGAATCAAATATTTTTGCTATGATATGGTGCTTCTCCAAATCATCGTCATCTTGAGAGGATGACTTTCGGCTGACCTTAAGGTGTGATGAGATTATTCACCCATGGTTAATTTATGAAGTAAGCCCAAACTATAAAGTTACCCTGAGTGTAAATAACTGGGCAGAGAACTGATCATGCCAGGTGATTTCTGACAGATGGAATCACCATATTAATTTGTCATACTGCTTCATTTCTGATATTAGAACCATCACCACAAAGTATTTATAGAAAATTAACAGGACATCATATGACTTGGTGTACACGGTTAGACAACATGGCAACAACACAGAGAAGTCTAACATATTGCCTGGGGTTCAATCACATTGAGGAAACTTATTTAAGAGTTCAGCAAAAAAGAGGGGGAGAAAAAGGATATCTTACTTGCTAGGTGCTCGGTCTTGCAAATTAGTTAATGCAGCAAAGTTGTTTCGTACAGTTCGCAGACTGGCCAAGACCTACAACAAGAAAGGATTCTTGAAACTTCTTGAACTAAGGCCATTTTAAATACACTGGAAAATGGTTTGTTAAGAGAAAACTTGATACTGCTTGCAACTTAGTTTCATATATCACTAAAGAATCTCCCAACACTTAGTGAAATTTGCAGGTATCCACATGAAATCCAGAGAGGCCAGACTGCAGGGATTTTCCAGAAATCTCTCCGCATTGTCTATGAATATGGTGACAGTAGCAGCAGTTTCCACAGTATTTCTGGGTTCCTTAGTCACCAAGACAATACTCCAGGTGATATACATATAGCATGATTGCATTTTATGCACATTTCAAATAGTATAATATAAAATGTGAATAAGTCTCACTTTAGGGATAAAAAATTCCCTGTTCCCAAATTGTCTTCAAAAATTGATTAAGAATCTCATAATTTTAAGTTGGCAAGCGAAGTGAATTTTAAACTTTCTACCTTTGATACGTGGCTACTCTAGCTAGTAAGCAGACATTGTTTTGTTAAGGTCATCTGAATTGTGCATTGTAAGCTCTCAGGGATGCATTTCTTACACAAAATGCTACTGTCCTATACATGTACAATGCCTGGCACACAGAAGATAATAAAAATTTGTTGAATAAATGAATACATAGACACAACATGCCCACACACATGACAAGGCAGGACCAATAGGTGTCACTATCTCTAGTAGTCTCTTCCTTTATCTAGTTCCAGTTGGAACTAGAAAGTAGCCAAAGGACTGCAAGTGAGCCTAGGAGAAGGTTAGGAGGAAGTTATTCCTTCTTCCTTCTTCCCTTTCTCCTGAAATGCGCAAGTTTTCCCAGGGTCAAACCCATATTAGATGGGATTATAAGTGATCTGGGTGACAACTAGAATGCTAAGTTTATGTAAAACACAGATTTCAAAAGTCCAAGTAGGTACTATGCAACAACCTAGACGGCCTGGCTCTGCCATGTAGTCAATGTGTGAACTCGGACTAGTTAGGTATCCTCCCTGTACCTCAGCTTCCTGAGCTGGAAAACTGGGACAGTGATATCCACCTCGTAGAAATGTTGTGAGGATTATATGGAATGACAGGTTTGGTGCCAAGAACGGTGTCTGGCAAATAGAAAGCATTCAGGCAATATCAGTGCATGATGGCAGTGTTACCTTTGACTTAATGACTTGGCATGCACATGGGAAATTACTTAATCCCTAGCATTGGTAATTGAAGAGTCTCCACATTTTTAATTGTTCCAAGGGTTCCAAAGTTGTTTTCAGAAATTTTTCATGTGGCACAGATCTAGACTAAAATCAGTCTAATTTTTTTTTCTAAGAAAAAAATGTCCCAGACTCTTGTTTTGTTGTTGTTGTTTACAAAATTTTGACATTCATTTGTGTAAGTCAATGGAGAACTGTGTATGTCCTGGGACAGTGACTTATAGTGTTTTCCCCTGAAGGAGTTAATGCTGCTTCCTAAGAAGCCAACTGTGATTAACTCAGTCACTGGAAAAACCTGGCTCATTATCTCATATAAATAACCCACAGCTCTGAAAGGTCACGCTGCCTATGATGGAGTAGTCAAATAGCCAACTGCTGACATCAGACCACGATGTCTTTCATTAGGCATGAAATCTTGAATGATGCATAAGCAAATCGGATAAATGATCCACTGTCATTAAATCATGCAGGCTTGATTTACGTTTTAAAAAGCCAATACGAAACACACTAATGAAGACTTTAAGATAAAATCATTGCACCAGATAATCGATCCCCTTCCTAGGAAAAAATTTTAACCCCAGAATTCTGAGATTTTTATTCCAATACATAATAGTTAAGTTCATTGCAGTTGACAGCTAGATAAATAGATATAGAACTGCAGGCAATTTATTTTCTATGCTCATTTGAAAGGAAACATCAGTCATGAAAAGAAACGTTAGTTCATGATAGAAAGAAATGTCTGTAGAGAATCTTTGCCTCTGTTATGATAAACATCTAATTTAATAATCTAATTTAATATTATTTTGTCTTAGCTTTTAATTTAAAATGTATTTTTGTATAATTTATATCTTGACATGGTTCCGAATTTAAACAAAAGGGTTTAAAGCAAAAAGTCTCCCTTTCTATAATTAAGAGTCAAAATTATTGTTATTTCAGAAAAGAGGCAATAGAAACAGATTAACCTGGGGAGGGACACTCATGGGCATTAAAATACTCAACTGTTCTAGTTCCTAAACTGTTCATTTAGTATTATTCTTTATAATTTGAACAACTACCAGCTATACACTCTTATAAATATGAAATACTTCAAAACAAAGAGTGAAAAAAGAAATCTGTCTTCCAGTCTCTCCCTCAGACATTTAGCTGCCTGGTCACTAGCAATCAAGTTTTAGGTTTTTATCTTAAAGGTTTTTGTTGTTGTTGTTGTTGTTGTTTTCAAACACTGTTGCAATAAATAACCTTGTAGAGACATTATTCCCTATGCATGCCAGTATTAGATTATTTAGTGTGTGTATGTGTGTGTGTGTGTGTGTGTTTTACAGTAGGACAAACAGTATTTTATAAATTTTATGTTCCATATTAACTATTATCTTCTACACTATAACATGGTGTAAACAGTAGAAGTGTAAATAACAGTTCCAGATAAATTTTATAAGGGGGTGTTGCCTTGGGCCTCGCTGATTGACATTTGGCGTCATTATCACTATTATTACTGCGTTAGTCTTTTAAGCTTTCACTTTGCACTGCAGGGCACAAAGAGAGAGGCATCTGTTACTGTAGGCTGTGGGGAGAACTAGAAACATTTTTACCAAAGTCCCTAAGTTAAATTTCCATTGTTCTTTGCTTTTGTTCTGGGCAGCCCTCACTTCCCCTGATTTCAACTCTTTAAGAGCTGTCGTCAAAGCTGTAATGCTCCTGTAACAGTCCTCACTCCTTAATACTTGCTAACCAAAAAAGGTCCCTGAGGTTTCTCCCACATAGCTCAATGGTTAGAAAATTAAGGTCATTTCTTTCTCTTCTGCCCCACCAAGCAAAACTGTAGCCAGTCAATGTCAAAGATACATTGGGAATGATGAGAAATATATATTCCTTAGGAAAGAAATACTGGTAGCGTTACAGAAAAATTTTGGGCAAAGACGGTTCATGTATTAGCCCATGGGAAAGGATTCAATGTTATTTACATACACTACTCTCGGATCTTCTTAGGTGCTTCTAAATATTTATTAACCGATAGGATTCACTGAAGATAGCAGAAAAATGCAGCTCTCATTTAACACTTAAGCAGCTGAACATTGGCTGGGGGCGTGGCTCATGCCTGTAATCGCAGCACTTTGGGAGGCCGAGGCGGGCGGATCACGAGGTCAAGAGTTCGAGACCATCCTGGCTAACATGGTGAAACCCCGTCTCTACTAAAAATATTTTAAAAATTATGGGGGAGGGACGGGGGGGTTGGGGAGGTGGGAAGAGATAGCATGGGGAGAAATGACAGATACAGGTGAGGGGAAGGAAGGCAGCAAACCACACTGCCATGTGTGTACCTATGCAACAATCTTGCATGTCCTTCACATGTACCCCAAAACCTAAAATGCACTAAAAAAAAAAAAAATAAATAAATAAAAAAATTAGCTGGGCGTGGTGGCGTGTGCCTGTAGTCCCAGCAACTAGGGAGGCTGAGGTAGGAGAATTGCTTGAACCTGGGAGGCGGAGGTTGCAGTGAGCCGAGATCGCGCCACTTCGCCTGGCACCTGGCGACAGAGTGAGGCTCTGTCTCAAAACAACGACGACGACAACAACAACAATAAAACAGTTGAACATTATAGTCTAAAAAAACAGGGAAATAAATGGTTTTAATGATTGTCTTTCATAACCATATACACTTGCTACCACTAGATGGCGGTAAAACACAGACCATGAGTTGCCATTGACAGCGAGGGAAGCGGAGACCGGCACTAGGAGAGATTCATTACTTCGGTTTCACCTCCGGAAAAAGCTGGAGTGAAGTTAGGCTTATTTACAAAACAGAAATGTCATTTTTATGAAAAGAAAACCTTTTTCCAAGTTATGTTTTGATTAAACTGTATGAAATTGCTGGTTTGTAAACCAGAAAAGGTTGATAGACAATTTTATATGATTTTTGATCTAAAAAGAACTTCGATATCCAGAAGATAGTAGTTGTAATTTAAATTAATTAAGGCTAAAGACGAGCTAAAAAATTAACACCAACTGCAACCAGGTGACTATCTTCTTTCAGAGCCTGGCAGGGAGGCCCTAGTACAGTCTGCAAGCTTGGGGATGGTGATGAGGTCACAAGATCATTGCTGCTGGGTGAAGTGGCTGAGGGACAGGCAGGCGTATTGGAAGAATATTGATTATGTTCTATTACCAACTAAATGGTAATGTTCTATAGTGTTAACAAGTACTGCATTTTTTTCCCTAGAAGTATCCCAGGTGCTGTATTTTGGTTAGAGTAAAGGCAAAAAGATGTAGTTGTTGTTCCTACCCTGTATTTTCAAATCAGGAATAAATATCTCCTTAGTCTGAATGATGTGAGGGTTTCTCCGGGGATCCATCATAAAGCTTGGGTTTTCCTGCTTTCTCTTTCATCAGCGTCTACTTCATTTAACATTACATACTTCTACATGAGAATTCTAGTCAATTTAGGGTTTTACTACAGGGTGGTGCTGTCACAAATCCTGGGATCACTGAGCCCAGAGGCAGCTGACGGCAGAGAAAAATTTCCTACAGCTCATCCGCCTGTGCCTCCTTAGTGCTCCTTGGCCCCCAAGAGCTCTGGCTAAGAAAAAAAGGTCAGTTGTTGAGTGCACTCCACTGGGATTTCTCTGTAGCCTTCATGCCTAAAGAAATACTCACACCAAAAGATTTCAACACAAACACAAGAGAATACTTCAACAATTGAAATAAAAAAATTTAAAGCTGTCACTTTTTCTGGGGACCAAAGGGATTCTGAGCTTATAGGGGGAAGCATAAGAAATCAGAAGTGGAAAAGAATTTAGGTTAAACACCAGCAAGAATTTCTAGCCCTGACAGCGTTTTAGACAATGGGATAGACTGGAGAGATATTACACGATCCTTTCTGAAAATTACATCTATCCAAGATGTCTTAGGCTTTAGCCTGGTCAAAAAAGTGCAATATATCTTTTTTTAACATGACTTCCTACATTCTCTCATTTACAATTTTATTCTTTTCATACCAAAGGAAACCATGATTTGGAAATACCAGGGAGGAATCCTTTGCGTTTTAGAGATGGACTCAGGCATAAAAAAATTGGTTCTCAAGAAGAGGTAGAAGATTAGATGGGTTTGGGAGAAGATCTTTGAATACTTTAGACAGTAGAGGGCCATTTTTAGGAGCCATGGGAAAAAATATGCACAAAAAAATAAATATCAAGAATATAAAGCAAAATGTCAGCAGTTATTTGGGGGTTTGGAATTTTAAAAATTTTCCTTTTCTTTTTCTTATTATTTTTCTAAACTTTTTATGGAAAAAGTTTCATTTTTATTTTTTATTTTTGAGAAGCATAGGTTTTCCCCTAAAATGTAGTGTGAAATTCCAAACTTCAAAGAATAGCCTAGTATCCTAAAAGAGGATAATTCTTTGGCCTACTTGACTGAATATTTTTCTGAATGAGTTTTCTAAAACCAGTCATTTTCTGTCCTTTGGTGAAAGCAATTATAACATATCAGGCCAAATTAGGTTGGTATCACTTCAAGTGACATAAATATCTTACGTTTTTAGTATTAAAAGAGTTAATGCTAAAATAGTTAGCATTTACTATGAAATGGTAAGTGCTCTACTTTGTATTAAAGAAAATTTGAGGAATTAATGATTGGGTCAGCAAAATATGCCAATCGCATCCAACAGCGTTTAAGAGAAGGCCACCTAAACGTACTCACTGGGACTTCTCTCTTACCTGCCTCCCCATAGATGCTCTACCAGTGGTGAAACTCTTCAGGGTTGAACAGTTTTTGGTTTTGTTTTTCATTCTAGTGGGGCTTTCCAGATCTTATACTCCAGTAAAAGGCCATTTGTAAAAACCATGATGAAGCCACTTAAAAAAAATCTTCAGCCTCTCGAGTAATGACCACCCTCTCTAAGGCGTTCTGTCTGAGTCACTTAGCCAATCACAAACAAAGTCTTAATTTATTATGAGATTATTTTTAGGCATCAAATATGCCTATAAATTATACAAAGTTGATTTAAATACAAAGTTCTAATTTCAAGTACATTAAGTATACATCTTTTTAATTTAAATAGCTTACTAACATGGAATAAATTATATAAATGTGTATTTTCCAATATCTTGAAATTCTATTAGTTTTTCCTTTCTTGGAGATTATAGGTACACTACAGAAAGTGTCCAATCAGGTAGAAGACCAGATTTCCTTAGATTTTAAGAGCACTGATGGCAGGGTTAAAGTCCAATTTATGAAGCTATTTGTTGCAGATTAATAAACATTACTTGAAGAAAGAAGACCGGATATCATACACAGAACTTTTTTCATTTTTTATTAAACAATCTATATATATTTTTTCTTATAATAATACCTAGATAGTTTGCTTAGAAACAAGAATAGCTACCTGAATGAACTCAAATTACAACTGATTGGTTTTATGTTTCATAATGTTACTTACATTGTTATACCTTATTTTGTCTGTTCACCTCTCTCTTAGTTCTTACAGAATTATAAGTTTTCTATAGTTATTAAAAACCTCTAGCTTTATAAGATTTTGCTATCATGTAATATTATTAAATCATTTAAGTGTGCCAGGCGCAGTGGCTCAAGCCTGTAATCCCAGCACTTTAGGAGGCCGAGGCAGGCGGATCATGAGGTCAAGAGATCGAGACCATCCTGGCCAACATGGCGAAACCTTGTCTCTACTAAAAATACAAAAAAATTAGCTGGGCGTGGTGGCATGCGCCTGTAGTCCCAGCTATCTGGGAGGCTGAGGCAGGAGAATTGCTTGAACCCCGGAGGTGGAGGCTGCAGTGAGCCGAGATTGCGCCACTGCACTCCAGCCTGGCGCCTGGTGACAGAATGAGACTATGTCTCAAAAAAAAAAAAAAAAAAATCATTTAAGTGTCAGTTTCTTGGACATAGAAATACAGGTACTAGAAAGAATTCATAATCTCTAGCAAAACCTTCAGCAAACGAGATATCAAACATCTGAAAAGGATGGTGGTTGTATTTTATTTTTAATTGCCTGCATTAATTTAAAAGGCACTATTATACATTATGTTACTGACGGATTGATTATATTTTAGATGTAAGTTACAGTAATAAAAGTTCAGGAATTTTTTTTTTTTTTTTTTTTTTTTTTTTGAGACGGAGTTTCGCTCTTGTTACCCAGGCTGGAGTGCAATGGCGCGATCTCGGCTCACTGCAACCTCCGCCTCCTGAGTTCAGGCAATTCTCCTGCCTCAGCCTCCTGAGTAGCTGGGATTACAGGCACGTGCCACCATGCCCAGCTGATTTTTTGTATTTTTAGTAGAGACGGGGTTTCACCATGTTGGCCAGGATGGTCTCGATCTCTTGACCTCGTGATCCACCCACCTCGGCCTCCCAAAGTGCTGGGATTACAGGCTTGAGCCACCGCGCCCGGCAAGTTCAGGAAATTTTAAAAAGTAGAACTATACATAATCCTACTACCTAAACCCTGCTATTATCCACTTTTTAAAAATAATATGACATTTTAGAGATCAAAGAACATTTTAAGCTCTATACATTTAAACCAATAACAATTAAAATTTCCTTTAGTATTATATTTTCTAGCAATTGTGCCTAGCGTTTTATAAGCCTGGTATCATTTCAGTGTCTTAGCAACCTTAGGAGGTGGGTACCTTTGGAGCTGTTATTTAACAGAGGAAGAGACCAGGCTTGGAAAAGTTCAGTGACTCACTCAAGTCTATTTACTTGGCAAGAGGAGGTGAAAGTGTTTTAACTAGATCTGACTGCCTTTCATCCAGCTCAGTCCCCTAACTTTACCAGTTGGAAAAAAGAGGACCCCAAAAATCTAAGTGCGTTGTCCAAGGTGCAAGAGCACCTTAATGTATGATGCAGGCCTGGTTATAATTTATGCTATAGGCCTGATTTTAATTTTTACAACCTCTCAGGATTACTTGCATTTCAATATTTGACATTTCTCAGCTGTCAGTGTTGACTTTAAACCCGCTTCATGTCCCAGGTTAAATCAGCTTTATCTCATTCTGTCCTTAGTTGTCTATACCAGGGGCTCTCAACTTTTGCACACTGGAAAAATACTGAGGCCTTTAACAAATACAGATGCTTGGATCAGATCTCCATTTTTTAAAATTTAATTGACCAGAGCTTCAGCCTGGGTACTCTCTAGTTTAATCTTGGGATAAGAGGTCTCTAGGTTAATCTAACATGCAGGTAGGGTTGGGAAGTATTGGTCTATACATAGAACATCTGGTCATCAACCCTTTCATATATACATTCCAAAACATTTTAGATCATTTTATCACCTTATTGCATCTATGTCATGTAGTTAAAATATTTTCATAACTTGTATGCCTAGAAGGAACAAGTAAACATCAACATATCAGGTAAATTTTTGTACAAATGAGATATGTTATAAAAAAAAGATAAAGTATTGGCTTAAATTGGAATATTGAATTTCAAGCACTGATCATGTACTGAATTATACTAAATGTAACTTAAGCCATAATACAGCCTTCCACTTCTAGTACTTACGTCAGTTAAGGAAATATGGGTCCAATTAAGTATATCCCTTAGCTAATTTGCTATTTGAAGCAAACACACTCTTTGGGTCTATGGGTTTACAGGAAACAGATTAATACAGCCAAAGTCACTTTCGTTAGCATTGCCTTTGACTTGCTTGAATGAACCAAGAATTTGTATTTATATTTGCACTTGATTTAAAATTAAATTAATAACCAAAACTAATCCCCCAAATTAAATTTTTATATCTGTGAGAAACCTGCTCATTCACCACGCTGTGCTTACCTGAGCAAACGGAGTCACAATCAAGTCGTCTCCATGTCTGAAAAATAAACCAAATCCCACATTAGAAGTCACCAATAACTCTGTGCTCAGTGTTGATCAATATTAAATGGCAAGTTCCACTTTCATGAATTCCAATAGAGAATTACAGTGATTCCATCCTTATTCTTCAGCACATGTTCTTCCCAGCAATGGGGTTAAAGATACATCTTGGGGATGTTAACCATTATCCAACTTGCTGGGTAAACAGAGGGGCTTCTTGATCATCAGCCAGGGTCATTGTTGCTTTTTAGGCACACAGCATATGCAGTAGAAATGGTGTTCCAGCAGTGGGGCCTGAGTTTTACTTTTGGCCTCTTGCTACAGATATTAGTAAGGAGTGCTATGGAAGGAACCAGCCACGGCAGTGACTTCAGTAAGAGAACCCTTGACCATCTAACATTTGAAGGTGATTAGTATGGAGTGTTCTGCATCACCCCATGTAAGTCTTGGACAGGCTAGGAACTGTAGATGACATGGGACTGCATCATACGCTAATAAAAACCCACTGAAAGTTTCAACTGACTCACATCCCAGCCACTGTAGTTACTGGGGAATGTTACTCCGTGTGTGCTGTTGCTGCAGCAACCCCAGCTACACTGTGCCTGGGGTATGGGAGCAAGGTGTCAGCATGACGTGTCTTGGAGTGACAGGGAAAGGCAAAGAATGTTGTGCAACATTCTAGTTAGAGGAAAGTGAGAAACTGGGGCCCAGTGTTCTTCTGTGGTATTTCTTCGCATGAATAATTTGAGAGAAGGATTTCCAGAGTTATCATCAGCTATTTCTTGATCTAGCTAGCTAAAGTTCTTAAATCAAATGTGAATCCTGTTATTCAACACAGACAGCTTCCTGGACATGACCCTAATTGAGAACAGTGCAAATAAACTATTCACTCACTTATGCACAATCTGAGAAGGACCCAAGTGACCCCAAACAACACCCATGAAACATGCTGTGGCACAGGAAACATATGGATGATGTCACTAAATAAATCGTTAGCAAAAGCTAGACTAGGTGATGTGGTTATCATCAAACCATATGGAGATCTTAAAAATTAAAAGGTGGGAAATAAAACCAAAAGAAGGTAAAAACAATTTAAAAGAAGCATGTGTTATTTTACACCCCCTTAGTTTCAGAAACATGTTTTTCAAGAGGCACTTGCTCTTTGTAGAGATTATTCATAGAACTCTAGAACATTAAGAAGGCAGGACATTGGGTTTCATGATCATTTTATAGAGGAGGCAACTGAGGTTCAGAGAGGGCATAAGTTGTAAGAGCTAATAAGTAGCAGAGGCAGGATTTCAATCAAAAAAGGTATTTTCTCATCCTGAAGTTTAATTGCCATTGTAACAGTATTAAGAGGTGAGAACCTGCAAGAAGTAATTAGGTCATGAGGGCTCCATGCTCTGGAATGAATTAATGCTGCTATGGTGGGAGTGGGTTAGTTATCTTGAGTGGGTTGTTATAAAGTGAGCCCAGCCCCTCATGCTTTTTCTTTTGCATGTGCTCACTTACCCTTCCATCTTTCTATCCTTTGGGATGATGCATCCCAAATGCCCTAATCAGAGGCCGATGCCATGCCCTTGGACTGCCCAGCCTCTAGAACTGTAAGATATATACTTATTTTCTATATAAATTACCCTGCCTGTGCTATTCTGTTATAGTAACAGAAACTGGACTAAGATACTGTTCTTCTGTTATCAATAAATAATTTACATAACTCTCAAAAAAAAAAAAAAGTCTTTGGAGGTCAAGCCCAGAAAGGCTCTTTCCTATAACAATGGCCCAGGATGGGAGTAGGCCTGGTGCACTGAAGTGGTAAGGAGGCCACTGTGCCCAAGGGAGCCAGCAGGGAGGGATGAAGCCAAGGAAGCCTAGCAGTTGCCTAGATGAGGAAGAAGCAGATAAGGAGCTACAATGAGAAGCTCAGTGATTCTAGAGAAGGCCATGCAAGGCAGGAAATGCCAGAATTGTGGGTGGTAATGAGCCAGGCTGCAGATCATGGAGACCTTGCATGACATGTACAAGAACTTGGATTTTACTCTCTGATGGAAGTTTGGGTTAGAATTTCAGTTCTGCCACATACTAGGTGTGTGAACTTGTGCAAGGTATTAAACTTCCCTTTCCCTTGGTCACCTCTTCTATAAAATGGAGATAACAGCACATACATATAGTGTTGTTTTGGGATTCAATAAATTAATAATGTTAAATGCTGAAAAACGTGCTACCACACAATAAATATTCAAAAAACATTGCTATTATAATAATTAGCAGTAGTAAATATTTTTAAATCATAATGATTTTTGCTTGCTATGCAGTCAGGAAATTGCAAAGGCTCAGAAAACTGATACTTCGTTAAGAAGAACTACTGAGCCGCTGTGACAGGTCTATAAAAGATTGAGGGCTTTAAAGGGGCAAAAGTGGAAGCAGGGAGACCAGTGCAGAGAATAGAAGAGACGAGAACCTAATCTAAATCAGTGGTAGTTGAGAAAGAGAGGGAAGATGACAGCATTAAAAGCTCTGGGGGAAAGAAACAGTTCTGGGGAAAAAAGTTATTAAAATTTTAAACATTTACAAAAGTAAAAAGAATGTTATCACGGCAGGTATATTTTATATACAATATCAACTATTCCAACAACATTGCAAGGTAGGTGATATTACTCCCATTTTTCAGTGGAGAAAATTGTAGCTCAAACTGATTAAGAGACTTAACACAAAAACACGCAGGTAGTGAGCTGCACAGCCATGCCTGGAATGGTCCCCTGTTATGATATGCATTGGCGGATTCCTATGAAACAGCTTAAAAAGATTAAAAATAAAACCATAGGAAAATGGCCCAATAAATACAAATTTCAAAATGATGCCAGGGCTGGCCAGCTACATTTCTTCCTTGGCCTATCATTCTGACTTTGCCTTCTGGCTGTGTCATACAGGCAAAATGTAGTGCTACAATTTTTCATATGCACTTATTTTGAAGCAGTAGCCTAACTCCCACAAAACAACTAAGAAATACTTCTGGATACACCAGTGTTTAAAAAGCATGAATAAAAAAATCCAGATCTAAGTACTACAGCATTTGACAGCCTTTTTCTTATGTACTTATTTTGAAAAAGTAGCCTAACTCCCACAAAACAACTAAGAAATACTTCCGAATATACCAGTGTTTAAAAAGCGTGAATACAAAATCCAGAGCTAAGTACTACAGCATTTGACAGCCTTCTACACACACAAAGGCACCTTTAGGGTTCATTTGAAAGCAAACATTCCTGTGAGTCATGGACAAATCAGTAAACTGTGTAGTGCATTAGAAATCCAAACACAACAGACATTTTCAATAGCTGTATATGCTACATATATTGCATTCAAGATAGCTCAATGGTTTCTGAGCTTAAAAAATGTTATTAAAAATTCACTGATGGGAGGTACATTACAAAAGGAGAAAAGACATGCTATCTATGCCTACTTGATTTGCCAGTTTGATAAACTATTAATGTGCCTCAATGCACGGCTAAGCTGAAGACATTGTATTGTAAAATGGACGAGAGGCAGTTCAGATAGCCAAAATTAAAATAATATAAAATTTTGTGATTGTCCCAAGCTATAGTCTCTTCTTTCATTTATTCTTTATATTTATCCTACTACAAAGCTTATTTTTTCAGAACCAAGTTATCTTGACCAAGGCACATCATCAATCTGAAATGAATCCATGGAAATATGTCCCCGAATTTTGTACATAGATTACATTGGATTTGAATCTTTCACAACTCAACAGGGTTGCATATTTATTAAAATGTTTAAATTTTTTCTTCGATTGTATTTCCAAGTTTTATAAATGATATACTTAGAATATATAATATTTAAGATAATTTACCAGTCTTGCTTTATTCTCTATGAAAGCATAAAGAAAGACAGTTATACTTTTAGTGAAGGAAATGTTATTTTTTAATAAATTGCCCAGAAATGGTTTCTGCCAGATATCTCAAGATAGTCTCATTTTAGTAACAGTAAAATGTATTCTTAGCATTTCAGTGGCAGATGTCCTCAATAAAGAGGTTATATCCTATTCATTTATTTTCAAAAGTATGTAATGCTTAAATTATCTCTAAATATGTACCTAACATATAATTTAAAAATCTTTAAGTCCTCAACTCAGTATTAAAACAGATCTCTTCAGACATACTGTTACTAGTATAATGAGGCAGGTAAAACATATTTTTATTTGTGGTTAGAAGAAAATAAATACAATACAAACGTATCTTTTAATTGTTTCTTACAATTTGCTTATAATAACTTAAAAACAGATCTGGTAGTTAAGATCAATAGAAGATTCACTTTGTGAATATGATTTGGCTTAAAGTATGTGTGGGTTTTAATAAATTGAATAATAACATATGCTAAAAAATTCCTATGAAATAAAATGATTCTGAAATTTTGCACCTGAACAATTTTACCAAAAAGAAACTTTATTTAAAGTGCCTTGCCAAGTAAAGTGGGGCTGGGAGGGATTGTAATAAATGTAATAAATTAGGGCTTCCTGAGATGGGAAGAGACAATTAGGGTCTCCTATAAAGTGTGACTGAGAAGCTTGATTATCGCCTGGACACTTGAAATTGCACCTCCTGGTAATGTGAATTTTGGGTGAGGATGATGCAATATTGACTTTTATTTAAATAAAAATAAATATAACAACAATAACCCTTAACAAAAACAGCTGGGATCTGTTATAAGGAAAATACAGCTCTTGGCTGGGCGTGGTGGGTTACGCCTGTAATGCCAGCACTTTGGGAGACAGACGTGGGTGGATCAGGAGTTTAAGACCAGCCTGGTCAAGATGGCGAAACCCCGTCTCTACTTAAAATACAAAAATTAGCCAGGCGTGATGGGGCACACCTATAATCCCAGCTGCACGGGAGGCTGAGGGAGAGAAATGCTTGAACCCGGGAGGCAGAGGTTGCAGTGAGTCAAGATCACGCCACTGCACTCCAGCCTGGGAGACAGAGC